TTTACTTTTGGGGAGACAATTGTGGACCACCCTGTATATATTATTCACTTCATTTTCATACCTTGATGTAGAAACCAACTCTGCCTTAGAAGACCAAAGATAAGTGTGAGGCCAGACTTGAGACCCAGCTGTAGCATTGCAGAAGTAGGAGTAAGGGAAGATATGCTGCTAGAATTCCTGGGTTCACTAACTTTTATAACAGGCCCCTTCTCACATGTGCTTCCTGCAATCAATCCCTAGGGATAGATAATAAAAAAGTAACATTCTCCTAATTGGCCCTAATTCATCATCAGAATCAGTTGTCTGGTCATCACCTCCTGCATTCAGACCCCATATCAAATGTAGAATTCCCTCAGAGAAATCATATAAAGAACCTCTCATCCTCATCAGAATTGTAATGGAAAGGGAAAGTTTTGACCCATGATTGAGAAGATAAGTCACCAACTCATTAAATCTGGTATCATTGGATTCCTCAAGAAATGTAATTTCCTTTGCCTCCATATGTCAACAGGTCCCCTTCCCTCCTCCCTCTGAGCTGTAGCTGCAACTTTGAGCTCCTTTATCTTCATTGAGTGAGACTACAAACAACATGAACCAGCGTAGTTAAACTAATGAGACTTCATAATGGACCTCTATGGAGATTGGCTTGAAAAGATTATTTTCTCATTTTCACAGAGACCTATCATGTAATCTGCTCAGTTTGAAGCTAAACAGATCTGTAGGAACAATTAGGAATGTGTAGAAACTATCAGATCTATCTGGCTATATGTATCCAAGGTTGAAATCACAAAAGAAATTCATGTTTCTGATTTTTCCTGAGCTTGCTATTTGGCCATGCTGAGACTTTGCAAATGAAGCTCTAATACAGCTCCCAAATCAGAATACCAATTTTTTGCATATGCCCATCACCACCTACAACTCCACTTTTAGCACCAGCTTATAAATAAATACATAATTTTTTTAATATCCCCATAGGTCCACACTGCTGTGCTAGCCTCATAAAAATATTGAATATTGAATATGACTTCAAAAGCTTCAAGAAAAACAGACTTACCTTGGAAACATCAACTTGCTTTGATGCCAACTGCATGAATAAATGTTTCAGGATATAAATCCTTTTCTTGATGATCTGAGATGTAACCTGACTTTCCCACACCAACTGACAAAGCTTCTGCTGATTGCAAAGCATCCATGACAGCATTCTCTCTTGATGGTGTGAGCCAAATACTTCAAAGTCCCCCACACAGAGTTCTCCTCCACCAAAGACAATCATCTTTTCACTGTCCTGTGAAACATGAAAACAAGTGTTGAACAGTTGAAAGCAATAGTATCCCAAGCAGCTCGCAATCATTAGCATCAAACACTAGTGCATGTATATTGAGAGATCAGAGTGGGGGAGGGATACTTTCTTTACATAAGCACAAGCACTAGAGGAAGAAGACAAGCTAAGCTAGTTCTCTTTCCAAAACAATCATACAATCCATTCCAAGAATAAAAGTTAGGTGAAGAAGCAGTGGGCAAGAGAGATCCTTCCATCTTACCTTAACCACTCTGTTGAGATACCTACAGGAATCACCATGCACATTAAATACATTACTGTATACCAAAATCCAAGGCAAGAAAAATGTTTACCCTGTGTAAAATTTTATATAACTCTAACAAGGAATTCCAATCACTGCATGAAAAATAAAAGTATTATGTTTACTCAAGAAGCCTGAAGGAGCACTATATACTTATTTTTAAATGGAATCATATGATTGGATTACTGCAGCCAATAGCAGGGCTCAGCTTCAATTGCATTTAAACATGAACTATTTTTATAAATGCAGCTTTTTCCTGAAAAAGTAGCAGAAAAAGACAGCCCTCTCTCTAAGATTAGGTCCTCTAGCAGCCTACAAACTTGTAAAGGAGTGCTCATCAATACTTAGCTCCTAACCAATAACATGCTACCATTCATATCAACTAGGAGTACTTCAAGGGTTTTTCCCAGATTCCTGTGAAATATTCACATTCTGTTATCCTAAATGGAATGCCATAAACCATATTTGAGGGGGAAGAACCCATTGGTATGCAGTAATTTAAGCAGCTCATACATTTGGGGGGAATAGAGTTCCTAAAATTATATTCTCTTTGACTCCAACTGACAATTGTAGGTCCAACATGAATAAAATGAAATCAAACCTTTTGATGGAGGCCTAGCTTTGAAAACAAATGCTCCACACCCTTCCTTCGGAGAAATTCTTGTCTTTCCTCCTCTGTGATTGAATTGGTAGACCTCCTGCAAGAACGGAAAGTGCCTCCTCGAACGTTCTTTGATAGGACTGCCATTGGTATGTTTCCTGCCATCATGCAGTCAACAGAATCCTGTGAAATAGGTCTAACATTACAATTCAAGATTGATTGTGATGGTAGGCTTGGTCATTTCATGGGCTAATATATATTAGTAGACAATGATAGGACCTAACCACAGCTAAACTAGTAGGGTTAGGCAGTAAATTGTTTTTGGATTGGATTACTACCATCCCCCTCCTTTTCTGAGTAGTGGGAAACAGAAAATTCTACTTTCGGAAGATCCACTTCATCAAGTGATCCATGAACCCAAACCAGTATACCGTGCTGGAAGTCCAACTTGCCAGAAATAGACCCTAGAAACACCATGTAACATATATCATTTGATCTTCTAAGTCACCATACGTAGCTTCTGAAGTGTTCATAAACGTTTGCTGAAATGTTACTTTCTTGTGATGTTTCTCAATATTTTTTTTGTTCTGCTCAACTGTTTCCTCTTCATGGAACTAGTCTTTTCAAGCGAGTAAATTAAAATTAAAAACTGAAATGTTACAACCTATAATTGATGGAAGAGCTCCTACGGAGGGCTATCAATTCAATCCGAAAACAGTGTATGCGCAATGGTTTATTGGTGTTCCAGCCAATTGAATTGTTTCGAACTTATCCTTACGAAAAAAAAGGTTGTACCTCTGATTCGTAAAGTTTGATTTTCAGCACGGGATTCCATATGAAGACCGCAGAGTAGCCTTCAATCCTAGGCCTGACGGCATATTATCTGATTTACGCTGGATATACCATGTGTCGTCTGCAGATCCATGGCCATCTCCATGTTGCATTCGTGCGCGCACCCTTCATGGCAGCTCCCACATACTAGATTTTCTCTCACTGAATGTAGTGTTTCCGCTAAGATTTCCACTCGGTTTCGATGCCTTCGAGCCTCCACGAAGTTCTTGCAAGCCACTCCTTTGCGTCAGTTGACCTTAAGGCCTAGGCCTACGATAGGCCTGTTATAAATTTGCGTATATTTCTTGATTTATGGCCGGATGCAAATGAATTGGGCTTGGGCATCAGCGTTCATTCACGAAGATCGAAGGAAAGACTCAGAAACGTCAAACGCACCTTTGAGGAAGTCTCATCCCCATGAACGGATCGTCTAATGTCAAAGGATTGTTTGCGTGCATTAATGAGAAAATGGTAAGTCTGATCTGATAGTATCGACCTCCATTCCTACGGCAATAAACCAAACTCACCCAAAAAATATAGGCCTAACTCTTTGTTCAAGTTGTTTTTAAATGTTTCTAGATTAGCTCTACCCCCTGTTTACATATGATCTGTATTTTTCTCCTATCTGGATAGTATGCTCCACTAAAGCTGCAGAAAAAAGATGCATTAGCATGTACATATGGAACCTATTGATGAATAAAGCTCATAGTGTGACATCCCTTCCAGATTGAAGGAACTGCTATTTCACAACGCAATGGTAGAGCCCATAGAAAAGTAGGGAGCATGAGAAATTTGGTGAAAGTCAATCCAAATGCCCTCTACACAATGACTAGCTTTCCTGTCCCAGGAACAGGAGGCCCTTGAGAGGTATCCTCTTGAATGGTTGAATAGCATAATGTCGAATTCTCTTTTGTCAGATGATCACAAACTTTGAGCATCCTTATGATCTAAGACAGAAATGGCAAAAGGCTAAATTGTGGGCTAGAAAAAATGCCAAAAATCACTTTTATTAAGTCAATAAGCACATCAAGAACATGGAGTCAGAGATCCAGTCAAATGTCCAATTGTCAAATTTCTTCAACACTAGATTGTTTAGGCTAAATCTCTCATGAAATCGAGTAATGGCCTCAAATCCTACTCCTCTGTTATCTTCTTCAGTTTTTTATCTCTAGTAATATTGCATTTCTTTAATTTTGAGGTGGTTCTCCCCTTTCGAGCTTATTCAGTTGCTGCTGAACTGCAGACTGCTCCTGAGCAATGACGTAAAGGAAATAGAATATAGTTGGATGGTTTCTGCTAATCAAACTGTTCCCTAACTTTTGCCATCCCTCAACATGGTTATTGGTGCGAGGCTTGTCTCCAACCACTCTCTTCCTCACATTCCATGATTTTGTAGGATACATTGCTTCTTTTTGTGGTCTGCCTCTGGGACACTGCCCATCAATGAATTTCTCCTGGAAGCACATAGAAATAAGTTCTGTTCCTGCAGACATACTCTCAAGCAGTTCCTTGAAAGAATTGATTACTGAGTAACAAAGGCATGGACTAAACAAGGCCAATTCTATTTGAAAAACTAATGGATGTAGTTGTAGACAAGCAAATTCAGCATTTTTCAACTTTCTAGTACTTTCCACATTATCTATACTCCATCATGTCATGCTTAGACATTTTCTACTCTCTCCTACTCTGCCCTTCATCATTTCATAAAGTCAACATTCTTGCCATTCAGCAAAAAAATTTTGACATTCTGTCCCAGAACCCTTTGAGACCCCAGCTGCTGATAGTCCTATTCTCCCAAGACTTGGATACCTTTTTCAATGTGTAGCATATTGTTCTTAAAGCATATTAACCCCTTGACTATCATTAATTCATTAATGATCTAGTGTAAAGCATGCCTTCACTGCTATTGATTTTAAAGGTCTTTCTAGCAATATATTGCACAACTATATTCAGCCAATTGAAGAAAAAGTGAACATCAGGAATATACAAATTGAAAGGAAAAAAATTTCGAAAAACATACAGCAAATCATATATTATTGAAACATCCCAGGCACACCTTTCTAAAAGTACTACACTTAACATCATAAGTTCTCTGCCACATAAAAAAATTAGGAAATTTCAGTTTTAATGTGAATTTTTCTCTATGTAATGGACAAAAAGTTAAAACATGTTACTTGCTTTATTGATGGATCTGAGAGGAGTATATTTTACCCTCATGAGAGCTCTGTCTTCTCCCTTGCCACAGAGGGATATTTGGAGTTCATATTGCCTAAATTTCACGTTCTCAAACTCAACTATAATGTTGAAATCAAATTTAAACTCCAATTATGTATAAAGCTAATTGTTCACACATTAAAGTGCTTTAGTTCAAGCTATTGCATACTTCCATATAATGAATGGTTCCCGAGATGGAAATGTTGCTGTCCATTGGGTTTTTTCATTTTCCATCAAAGTACTGCATGTCTGATGGAGCTGAATAATTGTTTTACAAGATTGTTATATTGACTTCTATTGCTGAGAATTTTGTTGCAAAATCTGAGATGGTCTAGAGCATTGCCTGGTTGAGTTCAAATGAAATGACCCATATATGTTCCTGTACATCTTCCATTTTATTGTTACCATCTCTTGTGTTATGAAATATAATATTCACTCTTAGTCCCAGATGACTCCAGAAATTCTTGCTTCCATTCCTACCCCTTGAAATATTTCTGTTTCCACTTTAGATAGATGCATAGATTTATTCACACTCTTTTCACTATTGATTGATAGTAGGATGTAGTCCCAATCCCACTGTACCCATATTGGGAATCTCATTCTCTTCCTGGGAAATTGGGCTCCACTCATCTGCAGGTACACATGGAAATGAGGCTTCACTGGGGACATTGATGTGGGGAGGAAGATAGGGCACTAGTTTGTTGGGAGAGGTATATACTCATAATACCTAAGATTCATCTCATTAAAATCTGCCAAGGTGTAGATGGTTATCAAACTACTTGCATATAGTTTGGGTCATTTCTGTGGGAATTATAATAAACCACTATTTCATGGTTAATAACTTAGGTAGGTCTGATATTTTTGGCAATTCTCAAAAAAACTCTAAAATGGCAAAACATGAACATGAGTTATCTGAGACTAGCCCAGAGCAAGGTGACTGCTTTCTGCATTAAATAAAAAAATTTTAGTATCACAAATGTGGCCTGCAGACATTATCAATGCAAGATGAACTATATAAAGCTCTATTGATCTCTCTGCCACCAAAATGAAGTGATTTTGTAGTATTGGTCCCTTATGCAGGATAATGCTAGCCTACATTTGCCAAGAAAAGACACACCAGCTGCTGCAACCTTGCCATGTGAATGCAGCCTCCATCCTTGAAAGTTGATCAGAACACAGACTCAAGCCACTTGGAGTTGGTAAAAGAATCAATGCCACTTGACTCTTGGAGACTTGCATCATTGTTTGTGCCTGTCCAACATTGCAAAATTGTCAGCAAGTTGGGAGTTATGATTTTCTCTTGCTCAGGATTCAGTGTCATATTGTACTAAATCATTTCTCTAAGATCTGTATTTACTAATATATGGTACTAAATTCTGAACTTGGGTTTTTTTTAATTTTATTGTCAACTCCTTGCAGTACAAAAAAATTTCATTGATGTTTCATTCAATCATGTAACTTATGCAAAAAAGAAGAAAGAAAGGGATTTTGGTAAATTTTAGGATTTCAAATTTCAATTTGTTGATGTTTGATAGACAAAAGTATATTCCAAGTTGTTCACAAGTCATTATCAAGATATACCCAGATCTGCTGTGTCACCAGGAATCCCATTATATGTTTGAATAAAATATTTAAAAAAGACCCAGTTGATGTTCATTTTTCGTAGAAGGATACACTATTACAATAACCTTTTATTATATAAAATCCTCATTTTTTGGGTAGGAAAAGTATTTCCATTTCAACTTATCATAATGTCAAATAACCATATTCACCAGTGTTTATTCTGCCATGTTTTTTTCATGTTTCCATTATAAATAGTAATGAAGATATAAATTGTTTCTCAAGTTCAACAACACGATTTAAATGCAGAAGCACAGTGTATAGTCTATTAATTTGAAACAAATTTGATCTTTCCAGGGAGCCAATGCATCGCAATTGGAGAGAGAAATAGGGTCTGACCACTTTCCACCCAATGAACATTTTTTTGGACTTGTCAATGTGAGTTATCAATCACACAATTTTTCTGTGTGAATCTTCTGAGAAACTTGTTCTGTCATTTCCTCTTACAATATGTGATTTCGCTATCTTTTATTTTTAGTTTGGGAACACATGCTACAGTAATTCAGTGCTTCAAGCACTCTACTTCTGCAAGCCATTCCGAGAGAAAGTTCTTGAATACAAAGCAAAGAACAAGAGGTCCAAGGAAACCCTCCTCACATGTTTGGCTGACCTGTTTTATAGCATTGCAACACAGAAGAAGAAGGTGGGAACTATTGCTCCAAAGAAATTCATTGCTCGGCTGCGAAAGGAAAAGGGTTTGCTATCAATTGGATGTTTCTGTAGGCATACTGGTATAGATTTTGCTGATTACCTGACTTCTGTTTTGTTTTTTTTTGTGTTGTTTCAACAGAGGACTTTGATAACTACATGCAGCAAGATGCACATGAGTTCCTCATATTCCTGATGAACCATGTGAATGAAGTCATGCTTGCTGAGAGGCAAGCATCTCAACCAAATGTTGGCAAGTCAAAGAATGATGTCCAGCCAGGGTCTGGGCAGAACCAGCAGAGGAAAGAGAAGCCTGAACCAACATGGGTTCATGAGATCTTTCAAGGAGTTCTTACAAATGAAACAAAATGCTTGAACTGTGAAACTGTGAGTTTTGGTATATTGCAGTTTGAGAGCCTTTGATAAGGATGCACAGGTCCAGGCATGACTGATACTGATTCTTATTAGTCAACAACACACCTGCATGTGTTTTTGGAAGAACGAAAAACAAAAGGAAATGAGGACATCATGCTTGCACAATATACATTAATTCTGGCCCATTAACTCTTACTGATCTTGTCTCACATTTTAGAAAGGCCAGAGGGAGCCTTGTGGATTAGTATAAATCATTTTCATGTTCAACTTAAAATTTTCATATGAGTAGCTGATAAGTGGAACTAAGAGGCTTATGGCCTGCCTTGGTTGAATGAGAAACATTAAGAACATCAGTGGATAGGTCATGTGGTTCTTAGCCAATATTGATATTCACCTACTCATGATATTGGCTTATGACCAAGTCCTGGTATTGGTATTACTGTTTCCCTATTTTGTAGTGTATCTTAGCTGCTGAAATGGGCACTTCATAATGTAATGCTTCATACATCATTTAGATAAAAGAATTTAGAATTCAAGAGAGACATTTTATTTAATTACCATTAACTATTTGATTATTTTTTTTTTATGTAGGTGAGCAGTAAAGATGAGGAATTCCTTGACCTGCAAGTTGATGTGGATCAAAATACCAGCATTAGCCATTGCTTGAAGAGGTATTCTAACACAGAAACACTATGCAGTGAAGATAAATTTAAATGTGACAACTGTCGCAGTTACCAGGAGGCCCAGGTAAGGCTTTATCTATGTATACTGTCTCAAGAAAAGGGGGCCAGTTTAATTTTTTAATATCTCCATTCAATATTGTCCAAAGCTTATGGTTTTCTGTACACAAAATTTCAAGCGAAAGAAAAAGATTTTGCCAAATGTAAAAGAATTTCAAATAGTGCTTCAAATGTTATAACTTCTCAAATTTGAAGGGACAAAAATTGCAGTGAATGAGTTATCTGCTCACTTCTTACCAGTTGCATTACTTTGATGCTTTCTTAAGTGACAGCACTGGCAGCTGAAAGAAAGGAAATTGGTTTTGATCATTTTCTAATACATTCATTGTTCAAAGAGTTCAAGGTTCCCCTTCTTGACTGAGGAACAATTGAAGGGCTGAAAGGCAAAGTGGTCTATCTGCAAAAAATTATTTCCTGGAGCTCCACACGAAATGAGTGAATATTCCAGTGACTGTCACGTTAAATTTGAGAAAAAGTGGCATGTATCAATAGATCACTTCATCCTTTACTTAATTCCAAAAAACTATAATTTTCTATGAAAGGAACAAGGCCCTATAAGCCCAAAACCAGCTACACTTTTTTCAGAAATTTTTTGCAGATTTTTACACTTTACCTTTCAGCCCTTCAATTATTCCACAGCTTTGATAATTTCTGCAGTTGAGGTTGTACATGGACTGCCACTTCTGCATATTCTTTCATTTGATCCAGTTTTTGCAATTTTTTCAGCAACTTGTTTACTGCAATTTTTGATGCTTCAAAAGTTATTGCATTTGAATCACTGGTTGAGATTTGTTAAAACTCTACAAAAATCATTCTTTAATCATCTGTGATTTCATGAAAATAAAAATTAGAGGTTCATATGAAATATGATGAAGATATTTGAAAAAATAAAGTGGTGTTCTTTTTTGGCACAGTGTAGAATGTGCATTCCAAATTTTCTTCTATTGCTGTGAGGTGGAAGTGACTTGGGCCAAACAATACAGTTTCAGCAGGCAGTTGTAGGCAAAGGTTGATATGCACTTGGTAGATTTAACTTTGGGCTAATCTGATTTTATCAGGATATTCTTTGGTTTTGAGCCTCATTCAAAAAAGCAAATATCCATACAACCCCCATTTTATTACTGACCTGATACATTTCACTGAAAGATGTGGCTCTGCTACCTCACTTTTTTTTCACCATACCTGCTGAAGTTTGCTGTTATCACCTGATTGGGATGAGTTCCTTTAATTGGGATTTCAAATGAACACTGCTGTGACTTTGAGTGGCCCAAAATAATTTCACCTAGTTTGTAAAGACAAGGAGTCATGAGATTCTCCAATCTCATGACTTTGGCATATATACTTTGAGTGACACCTAACCCTTTAATGCATTATTTTTTCTTTTTCGGCAAGAAAAATCTGGTAGGTTTCACTCACCTTCTAAAACATGGATCAAGAGGAAACAATTTTTTAAAATCAAATTTGTAAGCAGTAGGCCCAAAAATGTTATTGTTGCTCATTTGTTACTAACAGCATTTTCAGATTTCTAACCCACACTGCATGGATTCTAGAGCGCTCAGTCAATTCGTCAACATTCATACATGCCTCAACACAAAAGAAAATGTAAAAGTACACACAAGCCTGGACCCTGGATTAACATAAAGTTTAGAAAGTTAAGAAAATTAAATTAAAATGTCAATCTGCCATATGACAAAGCCAGATTGGTTTTAATTTGATTGCCACCAGGAGTGTATGGCACCTATCAACCACATAGTTGCTAGGTATAAGGACCAAATTGTTGCACATCTGCTATGAATTTGCTTCTGGAGCTTGCTGCCTGCACATTCTAAAAATGTTTATTTGGTATGTAGCATATATGCTACATCATGCATTAAAGGGTTAATGCATTTCAACACCCTGCAGAAAGTGGAACCCATCCACCACAGATGTTTAAAAAAAGTATTGAAATGTTTAAAAATACTTCCTTCTGTTTGCTGGAATTATTTTTAGGGATACCAGAATCACTTTTGTACTCCCAATGGGAGAAAAGGCAAATCAAATCATCATTGCTCACTCATTTTTAACACCTGAGAATTGTTACTTTTATAGATTTTAATAGCAATATTAAATTCATACAATGACACTATGCCAGTATGTGTAACGTAAAATGCAATATTCTTGTTGCTCTCCAAGAACCAGTCTTTCCACCAGGAGCTATGTTGTCACTATGGTTGGTAGAATTTTTTAAAATTATTAGTGCAGTGGGAAATGGAGCATTCTGCATGTTTTTAGGAGGAATGCTTGTTTCCTACATTTTGCCTACTGTGGCCATGCTAAGATGGAACAAGCTGTTGTCTCATTTTACAGCACCCATTCCCTGTGTGCAGCAAATTAAACTGGTTGTCTTGGGTTGTACACTGTCAAGAGGTTCCTATCTATCATTTGAGTCACTTACTTCTGACATAAATGCTTCTTTTACTTTTCAGAAGAGGATGCTAGTGAAAAAGCTCCCCATGATCCTGGCATTACATTTGAAGAGATTCAAATATGTTGACCAGCTGAACCGATATGTGAAGGTGTCTCACCGTGTTGTCTTCCCTCTTGAACTACGATTGTTCAACACTGTGAGTAGTGGCCATATTGCTGCCAGTTGAAAATCCTTCTGGATGCAGATCAGAATGCAGAGATCTGTATTTTTTTGCAGTCTGATGATGCTGTGAACCCTGACCGTCTATATGATCTCGTGGCAGTGGTTATCCATTGTGGTAGTGGGCCAAATAGAGGTCATTACATCAGCATAGTGAAATCTCACGGGTTCTGGCTGCTCTTTGATGATGATGTGGTTGAGGTGAGTTTTTTATGCCTCATGGGGCAAGGCATTATTTCATTCTTTTTGGGGAAAAGTGCAAATCCCAAGCATGATGGTTTCACTATCCTTGCAGAAAATCGAGGCTTCAGCAATAGAAGATTTCTTTGGCTTGACGTCAGAACCTGGTATCCCCAAGTCATCTGAAACTGGGTACATCCTTTTCTATCAGTCAAGGGACTGCAATTGATTTTTATCTAGTCTGTGATGAAGAGCTGACTTTGATGAAGGCTCATCATTTTAAGTTCCTTTTCTGTATCTTTTAGATGTATTTGTAAACTCAATATCCTTGGAGTGATTTGTTATTGAAGTTACATGCAGTAAAAGTCTATTTACAGTGGTATACAGATTCATGCAACAGATGAGACTGAGCTGAACTATTGCACAAGTTCTAGAATGGGGTAGGTTTGCAAAGCTAAGCTCAAGAATGGTGACCTAGGTCTTAAATAATTTCATGTAATTTCCTCCTGAGAAATAGCTAAAAGGATCTTTCGAAACATGAGGTATCACATGTGAGATTTCCAAACATCTGCATCAATATCACACGTTGGGGAAAGAGGTGCACATACAGATTACACCCTTCTCTAAGGCTCTTTTGCCTATCTGCCAACTTTTGTCAAAGTTTGGGACCATCAACGTTTATCGCATCATTAATAAGTATTCCGTTAATGCTGAGCTGCTGATGTTTATAACAGCCATTAAGTTTCACTTGAGCATTTGGTGAACTGCACATTTAAATACCCAAAATTGCCACCGGAATTGGTTTGTGAATACCATCCTTCGTCTTAAACTAACTACTTCGTAAATCATATATTTTTCAAAGAACTCATGAGAATGAAATTGGCATGCATGGATGCGGTGATGGGCGTGGCGAAGGTTTGGGCTCTGCCTCCTGCATCCCGAGCCTCAACATTTGCATGACCCGAGAAGTGGTTTATTTGAAACGAGGGCTGTTCAATAAAGAGTGATTATTAATTTTTCCTTAAAAAAAACTATTTGTGCAACAGTTTTGGCTTAGCTGCAGAATATTGCACCAATCCATCTTGTATTACGTCACAAATGCGCAGCATGGAGTGGCGGCGACACTAGTGCACTTCAGTTTCTCTTACGGGGCAATGGAGGACGCACGCAAGGAACAGTACGCTGCTCTAAAATTTTGTTAGCGCTTCAAAAAAACATCAGCTGAAGCCTACAGTATGGCACTGTATAACTGTAAGAGAACTGGCTGAAAATTTGGGAATATCAGTGGGAAGTACCAACACTATTGTGCATGACCGTTTGAACATGAGGCGAGTTTGTGCACGTTGGGTCCCAAGGCTGCTGACGCCCGAGCAGAAACAAGTGCGCATGGAGGTCTGCCTGGAGCTGAAGAGTTATACAGCGATCCTCCCTCGCGATGACAGCAGTGGTGTTGATGGCTACCGGTTACTGCAGGGGTTGGAGCACCCTGACCGCCCTCTTTTGTGATTGACTTGCGTCCATCTTTAAACATTTTAAACCAGCGCCGGGCTGTGCTGTATGGAAGCACAGATTCACCATATGCCTCCTGCAACATGCTGTAAGCTTCAGCTGATGGTTTTTTTTTTTGAGGCAATAACAAAATTTCAGAGCAGCCGTACTGTTCCTCGCGTGTGTCCTCCATTGCTTGTATGCGAAACAGAAGTGCACTAGAGTTGTCGCCACTCCGACATGTTGCGCACGAGACGTCTGCGCATTTGTGACGTAATAAAAGATGGATTGGTGCAATATTCTGCAGCTAAGCCAAAACTGTTGCATAAATAGTTTTTTTTAGAAAAAATTAATGATCACTATTAACAGCCCTCGTTTGTTGCATAATTCGTATAACGTGCATGATCTCTCGGTATAAGTTGCCCTGTCTCAGCCTCATCTCGGCATACCAATGTTGTAGAGTTGTGCATACAAACTGTTTCATCCAACGGCAAAGATGGAGAAGCAGACAGTGAGGATGCACTAGATATGGGGGGAAATATTGACTTTGAGCCGCTGCATCTCAAGACCTCTTTAATCAAATCTTCAAATGTGGTGGAACAAGGCCGTATTTAGCCCCCCTCCGAAATATCTTAAATTTTTGCCATACCGCTATTCGTTGGTGTAAACGGAGCAGTATCTTTCTTATCTATCTTTAAAAGCTTATGACTTATTAAACACTGCAACTTAGAGGAAAATCCAGATATGTCAAAAAGACTTAAATTGGAAATTTTTTTTTTAAATAGCCACAGCGCGTACGCCAGACCTCATCCTCCCCGAAATGAAATCCTAGATACGGCCCTGTGGTGGAATGTAGCTTGCCCTTGGAAAATCTGAAATTTAAAATGGACAGAACCTCCTGCGCACTCGCAGATTGAGTTTGGGGTCCAGGGCAATGCATATGTTCGGTGCCCGTATCTTCCTAACCTCCGCCCTCTGGTTTATAGGCCTTGCTCTCAAGCAAAGTATGCGTGAGAGTAAAGAAAGATCGAGAGAGTGGAGGTGTTGAGAAAAAAAATGTTGCATAGGGGGACTGGGTCCAAGTTGCAGCATTCTAAACGCCACTATGCGTCAGCATCTCCATAGCAGTGCCGCTGTGGAACTTCATTGGAGTTGCCCATGTTAAATTTCCGAATTTTTGCAGAATGTCATTTGTAACTTTTCACATGAATTATCGGATTTTAGATTAAAATTTCCCAATAGAATTGAAAGAATGTTAGCTTCAATCCCACCAAATTTAGCCAAATTTTATTTTAAATTTTATGAGATACAACGACTCGTTGTATCTGTCTTTCTTGCTATACTTTGTAGACCCGATTCTCTATCGTCAATTTAGCTCCTCTCCATTCAGGGAGCAGTTTCCTTTAATTTTCGCATTTTTCCACTCCCGGCTCATTTAAGAAAAGTTACGTCGATTCTACTTCTTTACGGGATTCAAATGCAATCTTGGCTTTGATGAACCTAATACTACATGCATGAGCGATCCCTTCCTTGTTCTCCATCTTTTATTCGAAGAGCAGTGTGAATAATATTTTGACATCTCATACATGATCTCACGATGAAAGGAATGTGTTGGGAAAAATTGTTATTTCTACTATTTCCTGGCAGCTGTGTTGCCTTCAGCGCTCTATAGCTCAATGTTGAGACTCGTTTCTTGTGGTTTTTCCGTCATAGAAACGTAGAGTTTATATGGCATAGCGGATTCTGACGTCTAGGTTAAAGAGTTAAAGAGAAAGTACAGTAATAGGAAATGAGCTGCACGTTAGGTGTGCTTGTTGAAGATGTTGAAACTTATTAGCTTTGGTGGGGCAGAATTTGAAGGAAGAAACCTCTTTTTTTTTAATTGAAAAAAGAACGAGTCTGAGTCATATTCGGTCCGTATTTGCAAATCTATATTTAGACTGTCGCAATCCATTTTCTTCACCATCAATGAAGAGTGCGAACTTCAAGTCTACAAGTTCAACTTCAACCCCAAGAATGGGAGGGATCCTTGGGGAATCATTGAGAAAATCGTCTTGATATCTGAATGCGATACAGCCTTTCTCCATCCGGAGTCTCAACCATGAATCAAGGTTCGATTCCCTACTCGGCACGGAACGACCTTGTCGTCAAAGAATTCTCTCAAGTCATACCATACCCATTCTTCTAGTATTTCTTCGCTCGAGTGGGATTCCCGAAAAAGATCAGTCTACACTCAAGGTTTCACTATTTCTCTCATTTCCCCACGACAGAGATATTCTACCTTGTCGGTGCATCAGAGACTCTAAGCAACGCAAGATTCTTCGAAGAAAGCCATGCAATATGGCCTTAAATGATACATCTTTGGCGTAGGCTGTGAGCATCTTGACTTCTTGGACCAGTTTTGCACCGCTGGCAATAAAAGGAAATTTTTTTTAAATTTGCTGTGCATGCTCCGATGGGGATTTCTTTTAGAGAAATCGCTCTTTAGGTTTCGCTGTCAGGTGCTTAAGTACTGCGCCGCGAATCTATCGGCCTATGAGAGCACTACAGACAAGTTGCCAGCAGATTTGCAGGCATTCCTAAGATCATTTGAAAGTCTGAGAAACTGCAGTTATATCCTGCCCTTTTGCGGAAGTCGGCTTCGGTCAGCACAGAGACGATCGGTATTAGCCTTCCTTGTGAGTGAATCCTTTTTTCATGTATGAACATTATTATCTACCGGGTGGCTCCAAAATACGAATCCTGTTTGATGCTTCGTAAAGCCTCCTGTAGGAAAGATAGATTCGTGATTTTATTTATCGCAAAGAAAACACTAAGGGTGGATTTTTGAACAGAGAACTATCCGACAATGCAGCTTTATTTACCGGATTTACAATGCATTTTCTCTGAAATAAAGCAGCATTATCGGATAATGCTCTGTTCAAAAATCCACCCTTAAATTTATTTCCCAGAAGTTTCAAGTCTATATGATGTGTGAATAATGAGCAACAATCGTTCAGACTTCAATAATATATTTTAGCTTTCCCAACAACCATCAACGGAAGCTGTGTTGAATGGGACCTCCACTTTCCAGAACGGCTGCCTGTAGTCTACCTTTCCATTGAGAAATGACATGTTGGTCTTGAGATATCAAGGGCCAAATCTCTTTTACCCGCTGCTGTAACTCTTAGAGGGTAGCGAATGGTTCACGCCATCCTGCGTAAGCGAGTTCCTGCAAAGAGTTCCATACAAAGTAGTAGAGGGGATTCAAATCAGGAGAATTTAGCGGCCATTCGGACCCTTTGATGAATGTTGGGGAATTTTCCAAAAGAAGAGCTTGAGTTAAACGAGAGCAATGCGATGGTGGTGGTGGTCTTGAATGAAAATGGAGTCATTTTGAGGAAACATCGTTCGACATTCTGGTAAAAGTTTGTCCAATTGGGCAATGTACGCTGGTGCATTAACTTAAGGCGTTTCAGGATTGATGGAAAGCAGCTTCGTTTTCCTATTCTAAGAAGCGCAACAGGATACCATCAACTTTCGAGAAAGCGGGACCTCTCGTGATACAGCCGGCCTGGGGCAACCTGTGACTTCCGTTCTCTTGAGTTCACCCGATTATTTTGTCGATTCTGTGGCACCTTGCAGAGTTAAGTCTTTCTCGTCTTGAAAGTCCATACGCTTCACGTCAGTGTTTGAGAATCTGTAATAAAGTCCGTCGCTTCTTAATCTCCTTTGACGTGCATCTGGTGTAATATTGGGAGTTTGCATTCGACGATAAGACTCAATTCCCGCATTTTTCAAAATCCGTTGTACTGAGCTCCGTGACACGTCCAAATTGCAAGCGATAGTTCACTGAGAATCATGCGTGCCAGGTTTTTCATCTTGCGAGAGAGAATGCTCTTCCGCACACTCC